TATGTATGTATATATACATATAGTGTATATGTATGTATATATACATATAGTGTATATGTATGTATATATGTATATATGTGTATATGTATGTATATATGTATGTATATATGTGTATATATATGTATATATGTATGTATATATGTGTATATATATGTATATATATGTATATATATGTATATATGTGTATATATATGTATATATGTATGTGTATATATGTGTATATATATGTATATATGTATGTGTATATATGTATGTATGTATATGTATATATGTATGTATGTATATGTATATATATGTATGTATATGTATGTATGTATATATATATATATATGAACAAACATAACCCTATACAACAGTGTCCATGGAATTAAGGTGATAGTGCAATAAACTAATCAATCCAAGAATTGTTGCAGTTGAGAAAGTGATGAGTTACTTCACAATATCTTCTGTTTAATACTCTTTATCAATATATATCGAATGACATTCAGAACCGCATCTTCAGTAGAAGTTCTTCAGTCAGATTAATATGTAAATGTACTCTGACCTCGTCACTCCTCAACATGAAGCACCGAGATGAGACCGGGGATCAAATCTGGACATGAAGAAACCTGAGCTTTCAGTCAGTCTCATGGCTTTCTTCATCCTCAGATCGTGTTGATGCCTCACTGTAAGAACCTGGAGATCTTCTCGGCCTCAGAAGGAGGAGACTCCAGTGGGAACAGCGGTTGGGAAACTTTTCAGCGTTACCGTTGTCTGGAGAACAGCCAGAGCGTGATCAAGTCTCAGATGACCGACATCTGCAGGAACTTCATCTTCAGCATCTCAGCCATGTTGCACCAGGGAGCGAAAGGTACGAGTCCACCTTCAGAGTCACAGACTGTTTATTGAGTATGTTACACTTACGAGGAAGTCGGCTCAGTGATATGGTGCATAACAGTTAAACACAGTGCAAAGATATGACTTCAATAAAATATAATATAAAATGTGAAAATTTACAATATAATATGGTGACAAACAAATAAGAGAATTTAAAAACAAGTTTATGATTAAAGTGTCATGTGTATATTTACAGAAAAAACATGCGTAAAGGTGTGTAACAGTAAGAACGTGTCCTGATCTTTATTGATGAATCCAAACTTAAATCTGATGACTCCACCTTAATAATCTCACTCTGATCAGAACATTAATAAACAACATTATCATTATGACTCATCTCCACATCCAGCAGTTATAGAACAGCATGATTCATCCAGAGTCTTAGTGTTGGCGTCACCTAATGAATGGAAGTCCAATATTCTCTCTGTATACTCTGTACACTACCTGTAGTACCTGAGCGGGTAGCGAGCAGAGTACCTGAGCGGGTTCCGACTTGAGGGTTGTTAATGATTAACGATTAATGTTAATGAAGATGAAGCATACTGTAGCCCAATGCTTGTACAAACAAACAGAAAATAGGACCTTCTTGTCTGAGGTTACTAACTGTATGTTGACTGAATGTTAGAAAATGTGTTTTCTTGTATGAAATGCGATCGTGACAGGTTGATGTACATGTGTTTACTCGGTACACGTACTGAATCTTTTAGTGGTACAGAGTACCGGACCGTACTGGCCTAAATTCACCTCTGGAAAAAATTAAACTAAAACCAGCTAACGCACTCTGAAAACTAGCTTAAACTAAAATGAAGATTTAAATCTATTATTATAACCTTGCTGCTGACAGACGCAGCTCTTAGACTTAGTCACTCTCCCTTTGACAGCAGTATTATTACTCCAAGTTCTACAGTTGGAAACCTGCGTGGCACTTTTGACTCTTGTAGCACACATGACTCAAGCAGCTTTCTTCGCCAGAGTTCGCCCATGTCGGATGTAGAAATTCTCATTCATGCATTCATCTGATCTGGACTAGTCTACTGTGACATCCACTTCTGAGGTCTTCTACTCTGCAGCTTAACTAGTCCAACATGCAGCCACTAGAATTCTCTGTGAATTTACACTCCAGCTTAATTACTTATTCTTTCTTTCCTGTTGTCGTTGTGGATCTCTAATGTTTCCGTCATGTTAATCCTCGACTTCCTGAACAAGACTCGACTAGTTTCTTCTTCACGTTTCTTCAGACCTTCTGGTTCATAAATCTGTCATCATCACTCTAAGACAGGATCTGCATTGTTTTCTTGTATTGTTGAAGCTTGTCGGTTGTCTAACATGTCTCTCCTGTTGGACTCCATTTCCCAGAATGCCATTGTGATCCTCAGGGCTCCCTCAGCACCGTGTGTGATCCCAGCGGGGGTCAGTGCCGGTGTCGCCCCAACGTGGTCGGCAGGAACTGTGACCGATGTGCTCCCAGTACGTTCCAGTTCGGACCCAACGGCTGCAGAGGTCAGAGTCCCGATCACATGACTTATAGATGGATGGATAGATAGATATGTACTTTATTCATCCCCAGGGGGAAATGTGTATGTTACAGCAGCAAGACACACCAAGTAAGCAAAGTAACAGAGTAACCAAAAATATTAGTATATTAGTATTACAAAATGCCCAATATATACAATAAAATAACAGTTACAACAACAAATTAAAAATCTGAATATAGAAGATAAAACAACAAATGCACAGTATATACAATGAAATAGAATATTGTTAAATTAACTAACTCGGTGAAAAACAGTAGTGCAAACATCAACCACCAGCAAACAGTGTAGCAGTGTGTAGTTATGTGGAGGATGATCTGTTCAGAGGTGATTTATTATAAAGTCTTATAGCAGAGGGCAGGAATGTTCTCCTGTATCTGTCCTTGTGACAGCGGAGCTGGATCAGTCTGTCCCTGCAGTAGGTGGTGGAGAGGGTGGTCCGGGTTATCCAATATGGATAATAATTTCTTTATAATCAAAACATTCTGATTATAATCATCAATAATCGTTTTTGTTTTTTGCAGCATGTGCGTGTGACCCTCAGGGTTCACAGAGTTTGTTCTGCAATCAGCTGACTGGTCAGTGTGTCTGTGTTCTGGGAGCGTACGGTCGGCAGTGTGATCGCTGTCTGCCGGGTCACTGGGGCTTCCCTACCTGCCGACGTTGCTCCTGCAACGGACACACCGACGACTGCGACCCCGACACCGGACGCTGCACCAACTGCCGGGACCACAGCACTGGACACACCTGTGACAGGTGAGTTACACCTGTGATGTCATTTGGCTGACGCTTTTGTCCAAAGATGATTGCTTTCAAATTCAAAAGGTACAAAAGCTAAACATTATCAACAATTAGAAGTGCAACTTTACCAACATTAGCAACTCAAATTCCAGTATGGGACCAGAACAGAGATGAGTTTTTTACGAGTTGAGCACCTCAGTGTGACAGGCAGGAAATGACAGAGGACCGTAGGTTTTCACCTGGCATGAAGGTAGGAAGGAATGGTTCCTTTTGATGTCCTGTAGACCAGCACCAATGTTTTAAACTGAGTTTGAGGTCCAGCAGAGACACAATTTTGTGAACACGGAGAGGTAGTGTTGGAAAACTTGAAGAGGTTGACCACCAAGTGGTCAGTGAGATTCTGGACTTTTCTGGGGACAAGCTACAGAGATCTGACACTAGCTGTCTGGGACTAGCTGTCTGGGACTAGCTGCATAGGTCTTAGTACTAGTTGCAGAGGACTGGCGGCTCTGCAGCGGTCTTAGTAATGAGGTCTGATGATGAATCAATAACTTTCCCTCGTCACTTACTCTCTTTTACTTCAGGTGTCTGGATGGTTACTATGGGGACCCAGTGTTGGGGTCAGGTGACCACTGTCGTCCCTGCATGTGTCCTAATGGACCCGGCAGCCTGCGGCAGTTCGCAGGAAGTTGTTACCGTGGTGACGACTCCCAGCAGGCTGTCTGCGTCTGCAACACCGGATACAGAGGTACAATCTAAACTTTATTAACACTGAGTTCTACACAGAGATACAAAAAAACTTTATTAACATTGAATTTAGACTTCTATTAACGGGGTGAAAACTGTACAGAGATAACATCTTTAGTAACACAGCTGGTCACAGTGGTAAAACGTTATTACCTCTGTGGTGGTAAAACGTTATTACCTCT